CTACTACGATAATTAGGTGGTAAATGGCCATCCTCTGCCCACACCGCAATTCTGCCCCGCGGCGCCAGCAATTCGAGGGTAGCGCCAAGGAATTGCAACACTTTCGCAATGCACAGTAATGCAAGGCTAACAGATTTTGAACTTACTTGGCGCTAAATATGTGATAGCACAGCGCAATATGAGAATCAATTCAAAATATGGGGATTTCGCAAGAAACAGGCAGCTCAGAAATGGGTGGACGCACAGAGATGTGTGGAAAAGCGAAAAAGAGATCGCAAGGAGAGCATCCTCTACATTGATGGTGTCATGATCCCACAGAAAAAAATCCGTAAGGAGTTTTCGCGGCACTTCCCTACTGCACAAGAGCGTTATGGCCAAGGTAATATTCTCATATACTTGTAGTAGACAGAATTACTTATATTCAGCAGCACCGAGTCCAAAAACGCCAGAGGGATTTTACATTTGCACACCCCCTGCTATTTCGCCTAACAACTATCTGTTAAGTAGTCTCCCTTGGTTCCAGTTCCAGACCATCATTGATCCTGGAGGTATACTAGTTACGTCCCCTTATTCCTTATTGCTTACTTACAGCGCACCAGTCAGCCACTACCCAGATCTAGCCGGCATTGCAGCTGATTTGCTTGTCTCGTCTACCAAAACCGTCCCTATCTCAACATCGAACGCCCACGGCTCAAGAGACTCAACGCCTGGCGCATCTGGAGAAAATACGTCGCTTCTGGCTTCCTGGGCTACGAGTACGACGCTTACCGGGCGCGCCAATAGTATCCGGAACATCCATTCTCGTTTGCGTGCTGTACTGCCAGAGCAACTCGATGGAGAGTTTCCACCGGGCGTCAGCAAACCGCAGGGTCTTATCAAGCTGGGTGCAAGCCCTCAACAACTCAGTCTCGCTCTGTATTTGATATCGAACAACATGTTACCAGCTGAAAACACCAACACGATGATCGAATATCTTCAGCAGCAGAGAAACTTGCAACTCCTTAGGTCTCTACTCTCTACAAAAGCATCAGCAATTAAAGCTTTTGCAGAAAAGCTTCTCATAGCTGCCGCAAAAGTCGGTAATGGTATGATTATCCGGGAGATTCTCGAAGCTGGCATAGACCCAAATGTATGGGAGATGAGCGAAAGAAGGACACCTCTTTATTATGTCGTTGAAACGGGTAGTATTGAGTTGGTTGAAGCTCTTCTGGATGCCGGTGCAGATGTTAACGCCCAAGCAACCGCTGATGAAGAAGAAGAAGAAGTACTAGGGAGGTCTCCTCTCCAAGAGGCTGTCTCGACAAAAAACATTGAGTTAGTTCGATTTCTGTTAGCTGCAGGTGCAGATGTCAACGCCCCAGCCTTTCTTGATGAAGGAATGACCGCACTTCAAATTGCAGCCCAAAAAGACCACCCAGAGCTAGTTAGGATTCTTTTAGATGCTGGTGCAGATGTTGATGCACCAGCAAGTATTTGGGAAGGGACCGCCCTTTATCTAGCAGCTATGAACGGCAGCATTGAAGTAACTGATCTTCTTCTTATTGCTGACGCAGATGTCAATTATTTATCAGGATGTCAACCAGCACTTCAAGTGGCAGTTGAGGGAGGCAACATTGAGGTGATTCAAAGTCTGCTAGCTGCTGGTGCATGTGTTGATGCTGTAGGAGATGGATGTTATGGAATAACAGCCCTCCAAACGGCAGCTGAAGACGGCTATATTGAGGCGGTTCAAGTTCTGTTAACTGTGGGCGCAGATGTCAACGCCCCACCAAGTGCGTATGATGAGGGGAAAACGGCACTGCAAGCAGCAGCTGAGAAAAATCACTTCGAACTGGTTCAGATTCTTCTAGATGCTGGTGCAGATATCAATGATCCAGGAGCTAAGACACTCGGAAACCCTGCACTTACACGTGCAGCAGCAGCAGGGAACATTGAGATGGTACACTTTCTTTTGGCCGCTAATGCAGACGTAAATGTCCCAGGAAATGGCTATGCGGACACAACGGCCCTCCAAGCAGCAGCTCGGCAAGGCAGTATTGAGATGATTCGAATTCTGTTAATTGCCGGCGCAGATGTCAACGCTCGAGGAGATTCTCTGTTCGGAGACACAGCACTCCAAGCTGCAGCTCAGAGAGGCCACTTTGAGCTAGTTCAGATTCTTCTGGCTGTTGGTGCAGATGTTAATGCCCCAGCGGCTCGCAATCGAAGAACAGCTCTTCAGATATCAGCTGATGGAGGTAGTGTTACGATGGTTCAATTTCTTCTAGGTGCTGGTGCGGAAGTCAACGCTCCCCCGGCTTCTGCTGATAATTGCAGAAAATACTTCGATAACTTTGTAGGAACAGCTCTTCAGGCAGCAGCCAAGAGAGGTAATATTGAGATGGTTCAAGTTCTTCTAGATGCTGGGGCAGAAGTGAATGCTCCGCCGGCTTCTGGTCATGGAATAACTGCACTTCAAGCAGCAGCATACAGCGGGGATTTCAAACTCGTTCAATTACTTCTAAATCTTGGAGCAGATGCTAATACCTCAGCAATTCATCACAAAGGCACAGCTCTTCACAAAGCAGTTGCAGAAGACAACGTCAAACTGGTTCAACTCTTACTAGCTGCTTATGCAGATATTAACGCCCTCACAACTTGTGTTAATTATGAAAGAACAGTGCTTGAGACAGCAATTCAGAACAACAATATTAGGATGGTTCAACTTCTTCTAAATGCTGGTGCAGATATCAAAACCCCAGCACCTGATGATAAGGAGGTTAATTATGATAATTATAGTCGGAGAAGGAATGCCCTTCAAAAAGCAGCTGAGAAAGGCGATATTGAGATTGTTCAACTTCTCCTAGATGCGGGTGCGGAAGTTAATGCCCCGCCAGTCTCCTGGGGCGGGGTGACTGCACTTCAAGTCTCTGCAATCAAGGGCTATCTTGGGATCGCCCTGATTTTGCTCGATGCTGGTGCGGACGTCAACGCGCAGGGATCAAGGTGGTTCGGAAGAACAGCACTGGAGGGAGCTGCGGAGCACGGCCGGATCGACGTGGTCCAGCTACTATTAAATGCTGGTGCTGAACTTCATGGCTCTGGAAAGACGCAATACAGAAGAGCAGTGGAACTTGCATCAAAGCATGGCCATCATGCCGTTAGGAAGCTGATTCAGGCTCACCATGATTGTGGAAGAGATGAATGAGGTAGATTTTGTTATTTTTTTTTGGGTTGGAAGCTGATTGAGACCCTGGACTTGATTTGAGTTGGAGTCTGATCATGTATGTTCTTTTCTGATGAAAGATAACGAGAAAATGGCCTTCAGTATTGTTCAGCTTGAGACGGAGTCAAAATTTCCTGTTTCGAACAGAGTTGTTGTTATGCCGATCATTGGCATGCATAGTACAGCAGCTCTTCTTGATTCATAGCTAATAAAATTATATGAAAGACCGGTTAGACAAAACCACCATTTCTTTTCTTCGCAGACTAGCTTCAACATATCTCACCACCTTTGAACTGTCTCTTGTGACTGGAGATGTCCTACTATCTGAAATGATCTTATTCATCTAGTCTAAAAAGACATCACAAGACCACAGTACTTCCTTCTAAAACTCTCTTTCCTCCTGACCTAATACAATCACGAACAAAAATGATGACAGTATGTTCAATATATTACGTTTCAAAGAAATGTAAAACTGACAAGATTATCTACAGCACACGGCTTATAAGACAAAGAAAAGAAATGAGAAAGAGCGCATAAATAAAGATTAGAAAAGATATTTTAAATTAAATGTAGGTGCAACGTAGGGGGCTTCGTGTAAAAATTCCAACCAACGAGCACTCATACAGGTTGACATATCTGATTTCCTAGAGTGTCTGTGCGGGTGAAGAGTTAGATGGGAGGAGTGTCTCCTTGTGGCGACGAGTCGAGTGGAGCATGATCCACTATATATTCACAAATTGAAGCATCAAATCACTTATTCACAGAAAGCCTCGTCCTTTCCCCCAAAATTTCCTTACGTATTATCTCTCCCTTCCATGCCGAAATATATCTTGGCAGACTAACTAGGACCGATCTAGTTTCTCCCGGGCTTCGGAGCTGAAAGCGGAACCAAGTCCTCAAGTTTGCTGGGAATTGAATGATCCTCTCATTTCTGTTCGTCGCATTCACTCAGCTACATTCACTGCTTGATCGCAACTTGCTTCACTGTTCAATTTTCATCCAGTCCAATCACAACTCGTAAAAAACCATCTATGGGCCAGAACACAGTATCGTCTTCTATTCAATTCACTTCCTATGGACCAGTTCGCGCTTGCCATGTACACCTACTGACCCCTGGAATTGACTTGATTTCCTACCTGGCTCCAATCACAAATAGTGATAGCATCTGGCTACTGGCGCAGAGTCCGCCTTGAACAAAGGCGGACGGGAAAATAGCATTGATAGAAATATTGTGAGTTACTCTATGACTGCGACCTCACCTGCAGCTTGGGCTGAGACCATTTTTAGACTCACAGAAATTACTCAATCGAAGCGCGTCGATTGAGACAGCATCTCAGCTCAAGGAGCGTCAGTCCTTCAGAACACCCAGACACCATCGATCGTCTTCGACAATGAGCTTTCGCGACCATTCAGCCTATTCATCGCCACAAGTCTTAGAACCCTCGTCAACGTTAACGCTGACGTCGAATCTGATGGAGGACCAAACTAAAATGGCACGCGCCGCTGAGCCGGATAACATCGAATCTGTCGTGACTGGCCTGGGTGTGTCAGACGTGTTGGGGGACGAGCCTCAGATCACCCCAATAAGGGCTCGAAGTCCACCAACTGACAAGAATGCGCGAGATCAGAGTAAGATCATAATGGAAGAACCTGAAGCAGGCCGAGGGCGTGTCGAGGTAGTCAGAGCGGGAGCAGCTCTTTCTGCGAAAGCTGCCAAAAAGAAGAGGAGAAAGCAAAACATGGAAAAAGCGTCGCCAGCATTGAGTACTATCCGAGGATTCACACCTGGCGATTCAGGCGCTGAAGAATCTGCTCACGCAAGAGGTAGTCCAAAAGTCAAATCTCCTGTCCCGCGACCTCCACCCCTTGCAGGGGCCAGTCCTGGGATTCGTCCTGCTTCTCCAGCAGTCAGCAGTCTTAAGCTACAGCTTGATGCTCTCAATCTCGGTAGTCGACCTGGAAGCCGGTCAGCCTCTTTAGCACGAAGCAAACTTGGCTCTGAAACTCCGAGCAGCGAAATCAGCACGACATCTGAAACTGGCACGGAAGATGATTCGACTTCGGATATGATCAGTTATGAAGTGCCACTTGACCAAGACTTTGTCAACCCTTTTCTGAGTGAGAGTACGAATCCGAAGCCGAGTTCTCTGTCAACTATTTGTCCTGATCAGCGTGCTTCTTCAATGATGACCCGCAAGATGACGGCAGCAGATTTTACGACACTGAAATGTCTGGGGAAAGGGACTTTTGGTACCGTTCATCTGGTGAAGCAGCACTCATCAAATCGTCTATTCGCCCAGAAACAATTTCGCAAAGCATCACTTACCGTGCACAAGAAGCTTGTTGAGCAGACCAAGACCGAACGTTCTATTCTCGAATCTGTCAATCGACATCCTTTCATTGTCAATCTCTACTATGCTTTCCAGGATTGCGAGAAGCTGTACTTGATCCTTGAATACGCTCAAGGTGGTGAGCTTTTCCATCATCTCGAGATGGAGAAATTCTTTGGTGAAGACGTGGCTGCTTTCTACATGGCAGAGATGGTCCTCGCTCTTGATCATCTTCACCACAATGTTGGAGTCATCTATCGTGATCTTAAGCCAGAAAACTGCCTCCTTGACTCCGAGGGCCACCTCTTGCTCACTGACTTCGGATTGAGCAAAGTAGCGGTTGAGGATCCATCTACTCCTGGCAGTAGCCGTTGCAACAGCACGGGCATTGGCACGATTGAATACATGGCGCCAGAAGTGATTCGTGGTTCTGAACTCTCCTCAATTGGTCCAGGCTATGGAAAGCAATGCGATTGGTGGTCTCTCGGTGCTCTGGGCTTTGATCTTCTGACCGGGTCTCCTCCGTTTGGTGGTAACAACTATACCAAGATCCAGCAGAACATCGTCAAGCAGAAACTGAGTCTGCCATATTTTCTCTCACCAGACGCCAAGGACCTACTCACGAGGTTGTTACGCAAGGAACCAAACAAGAGATTGGGTGCGAAGGGAAAGCCAGATGTTGCAATCATGAAGAAACATCGCTTCTTCCGGAAGATCGATTGGGTAAAGTTGGAGAGACGAGAGCTCGAACCACCAATTAGACCGCTCATCACCGATCCCGAATTGGCCGAGAACTTTAGCACTGAGTTCACAAACTTAGGTGTCAGCCCCATCAGGGAACGGTTCACAGGAGGCCTCAGCTCGACTGATCCTTTCGGCGGATTCAGCTACGTGGCCAGCTCAAGCTTGCTGGAGGCCGGCTATCTGGGTGAGGGGGACGACATTTAACGAGGAGGGGAAGAGACAAGAGGCATTGACGGGGGCATTGAGTACCAAAGATTTTAATTATTCGTCTCAGGTGTTTTTTGGATATTGTTTTTCGGAAGGACTTGTAACCACACATACACATGCGCACATGGCAACGGCATTACTGGCCGTGGTACTTATCATTAGATAGAGAGCATAGAAGCAGACAGCGAGACATACAGCACAGTCTTTGCACTATTTATTTCGATTTCTTATTAAATCAGTACTCCCTGAGCTTTACGATGCCCTTCAATGACAATCGGACGAGAACGAACACGGGTGGCTGCTTATGCTTTCCAATTTGATATGAAAGCAATCTAAGCACTACGTTAAGTCAGACCTTGTTGGGCTGAACTCCCGTCCGATCATGTTGTACCAGATCTCCTTCCATTGTCTGTGATCTAAACCAAGATCAGAAGGAGATCTTGTACCACCGTCGCACGGGCTGCTTCGAGAAGTGCAATACCGGCCCCTAGTGTTTGCCGCAAGCCTGAATTCAGTTCGAGTGGCTTGTGCTTGACGGATCAGGCCATCATTTCCTGCGTTGGACTGATTATAAATATTACGAAAGATGACTTAACGTTAGGCCTAATATCCAGCCGCACAACGGGATGATTTGGAATCGGGCCAGCCAGAGTGAGCATGTTCCATAATGTCTACTACTGTACCGCTATCAGATATAGTGTCAGATAGAGTCTCCCTTAGCCGTGCTCTGCGAACGAGCGCTACAACACGATGGCAAGCTTGTCCCAAGCTTACTACGTAGGACTCGCCTGATTGTCCTATGATAGGGCTTGTGAACGGGGGGCTGGAGCGTCTCGATCAGTCGACGCCGCCGAGCAGAATTTTTCGGCCTAGAAATACCCAACTGACCCTTCTACGTTCTCGGATACTTTTCTTGTATCTGGATTCCAGAATCCCATAACGTTCCTACTTCTCTATCTTCTTTCTGCATTTGCGTTGTTAAAATTTATATCCGCTTTAGGACTCCCCTTTTCGTATCTGTGAGCCATTCCGTCGGCGTCTTCTCCCTACTGTCTGTCAAAAACATACCGACAATGGGTTCTGTTGGGAACACGGATACCATTGTCTCCTTGCCTGACAACCAGAATGCATGGTCTTGCAGCAGTCTTCCTGCTACAACCGATCGTAAGCCGGTGACGGAACAACATGTGTCTGATCTACGCAAAGCATTGAAGGAACTTGACGAAGGGTCCATCCTGCTTGTGCCGGGAGATGACGGATACGAGGACAGTTTGAGGAGGTGGAGTCGAGCTGCTGAGAAAAGAGCTGTGAGTGCTATCCCTACTATGCTGGATATGTCAAGATTCTTTCCAAGCTTTGATAAGGTGCTATGAATTCTGGTTCATTAGCATGATCTGGAATGAGGTTTTGTGCATTCAAATTTGTCTTTATACCATTCTTGCGAAATCCTCTCTTGAGACATGTAGGCCTCACGAGGACGCCAGTAAGAACAACGACTTCATGCGATGGTTCCAAGCTCGCTAGACTGCGCAGAGTTCGAGGAAGTTGAAAAGTGTGCAGATGTCGAGCGCTGAAATGATAGCTGGCGTCGTTTGATGAGCACCGAATTGGACCTCCTTCTACCATTGTCTTTCCAGGATTATCATGATCATCTTTCACTATCCAGTTGTTCGCTGAAGCTTGACATCCTGCTCACTGAACTCTTCCAAATCCAGGGTGCTGTCCTTCTCCTCAAGACTCCCTCAGCAATCGCCAAAGCGCTTCGATATGCCTCTGAACATACCATCGACCTTGCCGTCCGAGGCGGTGGTCACTCTACTGCTGGTGCCTCTTCCACGTCTGGCGGATTAGTTATCGACCTCTCCTCGATGCGCTCCGTCACGGTCGACTCCACCGCAAAAACCCTTGCCGTACAAGGCGGCGCTCAGTGGTCCGACGTCGATGATGCCGCATGGGAACATGGTCTTGCAACCGTTGGAGGGACGGTGGCCGACACTGGAGTTGGCGGCCTGACTCTGGGCGGTGGCTATGGTTGGCTCAGCGGCACGCACGGACTGGTCATCGACAACCTCATCTCTTGCGAAATCGTCCTCGCAAGCGGGGAGGTGGTCAGGGCCAGCAAAGACGAGAACGCGGATCTATTCTGGGCGCTCCGAGGCGGGGGCCAGAACTTTGGTGTCGTCACCGAATTCATCCTCCAAGCCTGGAAACAGGATAACGTCTGGGCCGGAGTCATGTTATTCCCCACCGAAAAACTGGCCGATATCCTTGACGTCCTGAACGAAATCATCCTCGAGATGAGAGGACGAGGTGCATGCGTCCTCGGTTTCAGCCGTCCCCCTCCCGCCGGTGGGCAGGTTCTGATCATCATCGCGGTGTTCTACGACGGCACCGAAGAGGAAGGCCGAGCGCGGTTTCAGCGGCTGCTCGATCTCGGCCCGATCATGAACACCGCAACCAGCGTGCCCTACAACAGCGTCAATCGCATGCTCCATGTCCCGCAGGGAAGACGCGTCAGCATGAAAGGCGCCTCCTTCACGCTGCCGCTGCGATTCGACTTTGTCAAATCCACCATGGACGCCTACGCGCAGTTCACGTCCGAAGTCCCGCACAGCCAGGAGAGTCTGTTGCTGTACGAGATCTTCGAACCGGGCAAGATCTGTGAGGTGGCGAATCACGAGATGAGTTTCGCGAACCGCGGGAGGAGGATGAATGCCATGGTGGGTCCCATGTGGACCAGTCCAGAGCATGACGCGAGGTCGCGGGCTTGGGCGAGGGAGGTGGCGGACATGTTCAAGGCTGAACTGTCAAGGAGTAAAGGTAGTGATGGAAAGGGGGAAGGGCTGGGTGTCTATGGGAATTATGATCGTGAGTTTTCTTTTTTCCTTTCTCTCCCTTCCTCTCGACCCTCTTTTCCACTCACTCACTCAATCTTCCAAACATCTTCCCCACCCATCTCTTCCAAACCCCTCCTATCTTATATCATGCTCTCTATCCTTTCTCCACCAATCGTCTCATCCTATCCTCGTGCTGGAATCAGACGCTAACCTCAGCGGTGGCGGTGGCGGCCACGGGCAGAATATGACGAGAAATCTCGCGATGTCTTCGGTGGTAATTACGCCCGGCTGCAGGAGTTGAAGGCTCGCTATGATGCGGGGAATATGTTCAATAAGCTCTTCTCGGTCGCTCCCGCGGTGTGAGGAGGATGGGAAATGGGGATGGAGTTGTTTTTTAGTAGAGTCAGGTAGAGTTGGTTGGTTGCCTTTGTTCACGCTCTGGGATATCATATAGTATAGTGTAATATACATCTCTACCACTCTCCCTCTGGCCGGGGCCACCTGGAGACACATAACTTATTTCCTACTCGCCCCGCTGGCACCACCAATTACCTCACACCACGCCGCTATGGCGATCTTGATACGTATTGGACCACACACTCCTCCGCGGCCTCACCAACCGCTGCAACCCGACATACGGCGTGTTAATCGGACTGACGCCGGTGAAGAGGAACATATCGTACAACCAGCCGCCGAACGCACAACCAAAAAACGGCGCCACCATCGGAACCCAGAAATAATACCCCCCCGCACTCCATACCTCGTGGCCATAGCCCAGGAAATACGACATGAGTCTCGGACCGAAATCGCGTGCGAGGTTGATAGCGTAGCCGGTCTCCCAGCCGAAGCAGGCGCCGATGCCGAAGATGACGAAGAAGGGGGCCAGGGGCGTCAGGTGGCCGGCGCCGAGGTTGCCGTCGTCCTTGAGCGCGTAGATGCAGAACATCAGGATGGCGGACGCGATGAACTCGCTGAAGAACATGCCCGTCTTGGTCATGAAGGGCGCCGGGTAGGTGCAGAAGATGCCGGCAGTGCTGGTGTTGGAGCCGGAGCCGGGCACGGTGCGTGTCGAGCGGGGATTTGTAGTTGGCGTAGACGACGCCGGAGGCGCACATGGCGCCCAGCACCTGGGCGACGAGGTAGCCGGGGAATTTGCGGAAGGGGAAGCGTCGGAAGATGCAGTTAGTCAGGGTGACGGCCGGGTTGAGGTGCGCGCCGGAGATGCCGGAGGTGTAGACACCGAGCATGACTCCTAGTCTTGAAGGGGTTGGATGTTAGGATGGTGGTTTTGAATATGGTCATGTTTTTGCGTGAGTGTGTACGCATGGGTTGTGCTTACCCCCATCCCCACGATATGGATTGATAGTCACCATTCCTGCCTCCGCTCAGCACGACTTGAGCGACGACGCCGTCGCCGAAGAGGATGAGGATGAAGACGCCGAAGAACTCGGCGAGGGGTTCGCGGAAGTAGCGTCTAATGCGACTCCAAGCTAGGTCTGGTTCTTCCTGGACGACGTCGGCTTGAGGAATTTCGTGGTTGATCAAGGGTCCTTTCTCGGTGTAAGCTGGTTGTCCTATTACGGATGTTCGTCTTCGATTGCCGTCGACGGGTGGTGCGAACGATTCTAGGTGAGTATTCCCATTATGATAGGTTGAGGTTTCCTTGTCGGATTCGGACATGATTGAAGGCAGGGTTAAGAGGAGAACGTAGAATAATGGAAAATTGAGAAACTGTTCCTTCTCCTGACCTCCTGCTGCTCACCTATCGACCAAGTGGGAGACCTCGGTAATATAGGTCCTTTGCTCGTAAAGCCGTGAGGAGAAGCAGACAAGGGCCCTTGGTCGTTATGCTCGTGGCCGGCGACATCGTTCCACAGCATTGGATGGTAGTGTAACACACCATGTGATGTGTTTCCTCGACCGGATAAATGGTGGAAAAGGGAAGAGATGCGACGTACGTGGTACTACAGATCCCAATCCAGGCTGTTCGTGTAACCCTCGTGCAGGTCACAGCAAATGGATGGCCTGGTTGAGATCTAGTTGCTTGGATTCTGATGCAGGATGGCCCAAGGGAGCCATGTTGAGGGAGGGGTATGCAAACAGGGAAGGAGGATTGGCTGTAGCGTATCGACCCTGGGATTCTCTCCGGATCAACTGTCGTGTCTCCTACATAGTAGGTTCGGTACCATGCTAGAGACGGAGAAGAGTCTCCTTGCGTAGAACAGCCCGAGTATTCATGCTCTGCTGAGCACAACAGTGGCTTCGGAGGGTGATTTCACTCTCGTCTTGGTGGGACCAACTTGGAAGAGAACGGAAGAGAACGAGCAAATTGGCTCTTCTATCTGTAAGAATCAGCCTGGAAACTAGAAGAATTCTAAGGAATCCCCACTCAATCAAAAGAGGCCCTTCCTGTGCTGTACTTCTACTTCTACTTCAACTTCAACTTGTACCACGTATGTCTGACTAGAAGATAGTTTCTGTACTGAATTTCCTGATTGGCTCCTTGAGCTAGCGCCGGCAGCCATAGACTAGTCTGACCCACTAAGACAAGTATCCTCGTTAGACGTTTTATCCTGAAAACTTCTATTGCGAGATTGCAGATGAATGATTCAGTGCTGCCAAACTGACCCCAATTACTGATCTGCATAGGGTAGGACCTTCAAACTAGACAGAGAATCATCATTTCTTCATTTTCTTTTTGGTCAAGTTACTCTTTTATATCCCTCCGTCGATAAGCTCCTCTCGCTCCTAGAAAACGAACCGAAGGCCTCCCATGCTGATGAGAATGGGATTCTATGTTGCGGCACAATCGACTCGTGGCTTGTCTGCCGACTCAATGGTAGCCCATGGAAGAGTGAGCGTCTTCGTAACAGACCCTACCAACGCCCTCTCGAACCATGTTCATGGATATTCACACCTTAGAAGATGACGACTCCCTTATCAACTTCTTTCGACTTGGACCCTTCGAACTGAATCTTCCTAGGATCATCAAATCCTCCCACGCCCCAAGACTACGGTTCTATGGGCCACCGGCCCACTCAAGGGGCATGCCAATAACAGGCTGTCTTGGGGAGAGACCAGGCGGCCGCCCTGGTGGGCCAAAAGGGGTTTACAGCCTGGATTGGCCAAGAACACTTATGGGACTGGTTGTTTCCTGCTCTACAACTTTGGTGTGATAAGCCTGTCATATCCAAGCATGGACTTCTTGCCACCGTGGCAAGATGACTTTGGAAGGCGTGCAACTCCATCACATCTCTTAAACCTCCCTCACCCATTCACTCCTGCCATTTCCTCCCTTGGACGCAGCGTAGAAAATCTAGTTACCAGACAGACAGACAGACAGACAGACAGACAGACAGACAGACAGACAGACAGACAGACAGACAGACAGACAGACAGACAGACAGACAGACAGACAGACAGACAGACAGACAGACAGACAGACAGACAGACAGACAGACAGACAGACAGACAGACAGACAGACAGACAGACAGACAGACAGACAGACAGACAGACAGACAGACAGACAGACAGACAGACAGACAGACAGACAGACAGACAGACAGACAGACAGACAGACAGACAGACAGACAGACAGACAGACAGACAGACAGACAGACAGACAGACAGACAGACAGACAGACAGACAGACAGACAGACAGACAGACAGACAGACAGACAGACAGACAGACAGACAGACAGACAGACAGACAGACAGACAGACAGACAGACAGACAGACAGACAGACAGACAGACAGACAGACAGACAGACAGACAAACACAGACAGTCTGAGAGGTGCGAACTGGCCTCTGCACTCCTCGTCTAAAGTGATATGATATGATATGATAGATATAGCAATAGCTTGCTACAGAGCAGATAGGTGGGTAGGTCAGGGTAGGAGAGAGATTGGATGAAGGGGTGGAAACTGGGGATTGAGGCTGACTATTTTTCCATCGCCAGAAAAACCGCTCGCTGCAGGGTAAAATACGAAATGTGATGGGATATCGAGTAGAGGCAATATGGTTGAGAACCCGGGAGGGGGTCAGCTTAGTTCAATTTGGGGGACCGCTATGCTATACGTTTGGACATGCTGAGGACAATGAGCTGAAGGATGAGATTGGAGAGGCAGACCATTTTTAAGGAGTGTTCAAAGCTTTATTTTGTAATTGCCGAGTATATCCATTACTTACTGCTTGGATTCATGACAGATCGCTTTTTCACGGGTCAGGAAAATGGATAATAACAGCGCGGTGGAATTCTTAACTAATTTTTTTTTTCTTTCGCTGGTGAAGAGCAAGGGGTGTCGCTGTAGTGGACTGAAGATCGGGTAGGTAGATATCCCAGTTGGAAATGCCCTGACTGCTTGTTCCAATCACTAAGAGGAGGAAAAGATGTGCCAGCCCATTCAGGGAAGCTGGGTAAGAAAGGATATTTGGTATCCACGTCTCTATAATGTACTTCTTCTCTGAAGGTCGCACCTCATCAAGAAGCTGTTGACGATTATTCTGAAGCTCTTGACTCGTAGAGCTCTTGACGTAGATCCAGCACAGATCTTGTAGAATATCGATTTGGTTCTTTTTATAGCCTGACGTTCGAGATCGCTTTAGCATCGCTTGAACAGCATGCCAGTCGCAGCTCTGTAGAATCGCGTTTGGGAAGACTATAGACACAGCTGTGATGAGGCCAGCAGCTTGATCTCCGATAACAACACGACAAGGAGGTATATCGTCGGCGAAGCATTCGCGTTTGAGGCATTCAAAGAAGAAGACCAACGACTCCGTACTTTCTGAAGAGCAGTAGCTGAAGGCTACAGGAAATGTAGACCCAGAATTCGTGATACTCACAGCAGCGAGAAGAGATAGACGAAGCTCATTTGTATTAAAAGTACCGTCAATAACAAGGACCTGATCTGCAACAAAGCGCTGAGCTATCTTAAGCTGTTGAGAGTGAGAAAACCAGATCTGAATGAGCTGTTTGCTCGTCACTTTGCCCTCATTATCATATTCGAAGTTGAGTCTCTCATGATGGACGAATTTGGCATCATCGAGAGTCTTGAGAAGGCCTTGAATCGACTCTGAATCTCTCTTATCAGCCGACTGCGTTCGGACGAGGTTGTAGTACTTCTTTGAGCTCAACAGACACCATAATCATCACAATCGAGGATGTTTCGACTCAAAGAGTAAGAGATGACCTTCGTTCGTTGATTTACAGCTGACGTAACCAGCTGTTGATACTCGAGAATGAGCAGCTGGTTACTTTCTGTTGAACGTACAGGGCCACTGATTGATGTTGTTGGTCTGTGCGCCAAATAGGGGCGCTTTTCTGTCATATATCTTGTTTCTGCGCCCTGCGCCTTTTTGAGAGAGAACAGAGCCATTCCTTCTGACACTTTCGTACATTAGAGGTTTATTAACAAGACGATGAGAATGATCGATTTCAGACGCAGAGAGACTATATCCTTTGACGTCAGATTCACGCTTGTCTATATCCTTGAATGAGCAATAAGTATATCATGTACAGCCCTTCTGCTTGTTGCTGTGGCGCCTCGTTTTCTGTTACTGATTATCTTGCCCTCAGAGTTCTTAAGAACGCTCTCCGAAAGTCTACGCTGATTCCGAGTCTCATCGTCATGATGAATACACAGAAAGCGTTTAGACGGCGTCAACGCTTAGCCTGTGCCACGAATAACGACGGCGAAACCCTGAGATACTGCGAAAACCTGGAGGCGTTGAAGACAATGCTCAAACGAGCTGAATACCTCACCTGTAGGCGGTGATAAAGCCACAATGAGGGGTGACTGTTGATGAAGCGCTCCAAGCGCAGGCCGACTATGGGCAGGGCAGCCTACGGAGGCTATCCATGAGGTATACATGGCCAGAGCAACTCAACATCAAGAAATCTATCTCAGAATACTAATCGGGGCAACAGAGAGGCTTCAAGTCACGAATGGCAGTGGAATGGGCAATGTGGAATAATACTGAGGACTTGCTCATACAAATTACTACTGTGTGATCACGTGGATTCATACCGGACTGCCAAGGGCCGGATAATGAGGCGCTCGAAAATGGCTGTTGAGTATGGCTGTCCCGGGTCAAGCCGTAATGGTCGCTATGGCCTAACTTGAGACATCTCTAGCTAACCCATTTTCAAGTTTCATATGCATGATTCAGTCGTGAGACCATTCTGCTGGTGTTCGTGCTGCCCTCTGAAACACCCTAGTGGAAGCATATGCAACAGAGCTTGTCTCCACATTGATCATCCCGTTAATGAGAATTCGACCTTTACTGTTTTTGATCGTTTTCTCTTCTATCTGAACAGCTACCTCCTCAGTACTGCCCCATCAATCAAGATAATATCTCCGCCTCTAGTTTTAATATTACAATATTTTCCCTAGATTGATCTTTGCCCTACCAAAGTCATGGGGCAGCACAGGAATCGAAAGAGGGATGAAGAATCTAACGACAGTGATCCTGGACCTCCAGAACAGCGAAGGCGCCCTTAACAACAGGGAACTCTATCAATCAGACAATTACAACCAATTTCTCGAGGTATTAGCATCGCTCAGAGACCAATCTCGGGAATATCACTTACCGGAGAAGTTTACCAGCCTGCTCAGACAAGCTCGGTTGTACAACAGAACGTCCATACTGCGCTTGCAAGCAACAAAGATGACTCCCAGACTCCTCAAAGCAGTTCTTGTCGTCGTCGGCAGAATGCCCACTTGAACGTCAAAATAAGAAAAGATGGGCGACTTCCACGAAAAGATTCCTCTACAAAGCCAAACATACAGAATGCGGCTCGGGGGGGGTCACAAGATCCTCTAGGTGTTCGTAACAGGCAGCACGTTGACCCATCTGCACTCACACGAACGATGGCAAATCAAACGGAGCCTACAGGTGCAAACAGGGCGCGAAACTGGCTTGTAGGTGAAGGTGCCCAGCCACCAGGTGGAGGTAGCCAAATGGCCCGACATGCAAGACCCCGACTTGCTTGGAATTACACCGCAGAGCTAACTGGCAACCAAGTTTTAAAGCCGAGTTGGCCAATGTGGGCGCCGCCCTCTCAGGCGGATCAGAGACGCAGTAGGGCATGTTTACGCGCCAGGCTCCGAACAGATTTTATGATTGCACCAAAAGGTTCAGGGCAGCTAAGGCCGACTATGAGAACCTTTCTAGAAACCCTTATAAACAACTATAACGCTGAGAGACCTGGATCGCATGATATGGAAATGCAGGGAGAGTCCGGGGACGGAAACAAGTGGACAGTAGAGGGCGAACTTTCTGCGCCTTTTCATTCTAGGTCGTCATACGGTAAGTTATTAATTTCCATACTGAATCGGTCGTTTTTCACTGTTTTCCTTAGCAGCTAACTTATCAATGCTTTAGAGAAAATCAGCCTGGAATCGCCATGGTTCGATATGTGGAATACTGATTCAAGTTGGCAAGATAATGTTCGTGGGACTTGGGCGTACCTACATCGGTGCTACGAGATCCAAAGAACGCCCAACCGCAATAACTTTATCACTGTACAGGGCCTACTTTACAGGTTAGAAGTATGGAAACGAGTCGCTCAAGCCATTGTTCATTTCGAACCAGCTCTGAGATATTTGCAGCACGGCGAGTCTGAAAACCCTGATCCTGGTGACCTCTTGAAGGCGAATTGGCGTGATAACCCTTGTTTAAAAGGTGCCGGCATTAATCAGCCTCAATCTATTACCCTTATTGAAGCGCTTTTCGATGAGCAAGATCCGTTTTTGGAACTGTCTGACTCGTCTGGTTGGCCTTTATATGCACTGTCGGCATTGATGGGCAGCAGGAAGGACGAAAATGGGAGGGCATATACTGAGGACTACTATTGGCAGTTTGGACAAGAGCCCAAGCACTTTATATTTTGCAACCCTCCACCGCTAATTTCGGCTACTGATGCAATCTGGTGGCTTGATCTCGTATCATCCTTCGTTTGGGTAGCTGGAGTATGTGAATCTGCGGAAGAACTGCAAAGATACAACACCGACGTGTTGGGTCTGGATAACTTCCTATATGGGAGCGAAAGGGTCACTGTTTCCAACATGGCGCGTCTGCATATGAACAGGCAGACAGGCGACCCGTTTCGTACATCTAGAATGAGGAATTCCAATCTAGGAACACCCCGTTGACGGCTCTGATTTCGAGCGATCGATCAAATCTATCAAGGGAAACAGAAGGGTACAGAAAAGGATATTCTTAGATCGTCGGCTCCAAGGCACAGCCACTGATACGTTTTGTTGTAGGAAAAACCTCTAAATCTGGCCTTGATAGAATGTTGGTTACAAGGCTATCCTCTTAGATCACTTCTAGGAATGTTAAGGCAAGGAGACCAGTTTCAGTAGCTCATGTATAAGAATGGAAATGATCAGTTCCTGCTCATGACAAAACTAGCCTATGGTCACAAGGGCAATCTGGTCTCCAACGGCATATAATAGAGGTTTGTCGCATAACAGCTTGTCGCACAACGATCTGCATTAATGATTTCCTCAGAGCGACTCAATACCAATCGTTGGAAGGCTTAACGGAATGTGCGTTAATTCATCATAATTGAAGTATGTGACTAACTCAAGAATTAGTCTTTACGCGTTATGTACTCTGTACAGGCCACTAAATTATTTGGCTCTGACTAAAGATTTGCTTCGTCATAGATTTGCTGTTCAGCACCGACAGCAGATCCCAAAGAGGTAACATAAAAACCGCTCCTGTATTGACTACTATCTGGTTATCATGTCTCTGGAGTCTGCTATGAAAAGTATATCTACCAGTTAGGTTCGAAACCTAAAAGCGTTGTCTTTTTGGTGGAGTGGTAGATATACGGTTCCTCTTCTGGTAGACTGATTCTGATTTCTGTCACTGTTGATTTGATTTCGCTTCTTCGATTACTTGATTGATTGATGCTTATTTTGACAAGCTGCTGATGCGCCTGGCTCTAATCAGAGGACTAGAATCTTGGAAATGACCATAATGAGTGAGTGATTCTGTGCTCACCAATGTCCTCCAGATGATTGGCCCTGAAATCCATCAGGAATGTAAAACACCGTGCGGACTGGAAACTTCAAATCTAAGGATGGCCGATAGAACTATATTCAGCAAAGATGACGTGATTACGGCCCACACATTCGAAATGTGGATCAAACGATCGGAAAGGGCTCATAACTTCTGATCGGAACCCACTCCGAATTGGTCCAGGTATTAGAGACTTTGGGCTGCAGCAAGTCTCTTGGACGCTCCGGTTGAGAGATGTCTAGGAGCTTGTTCCAATTCAGGGCAAGAGTTATCTGGTTACTATGCCACTGTCGACATCCTAAGATCTTGATCGAATCTAGCGCAAGACCAATCTGGGTCCGGTGCTACTATGGAGACACATCATACTAGCGCAAGCTCAACATGATCTAGGACAATTGCTTCAATCGATAGTCGACCACATGATGTATTTTCTCCCTGAATAAGGGGCTAAGAGAAGGGTTGGGAAGAAGGCTTGCGGATGATTGGTCTGACAGCCAAAGACTGCGTTTGAATAGAGCATACGCCGAAGGTGAATGAGGCAGTTGCTCAAAAATATATTGAACAAGTGAAAACTTTACAGTACACTAAGCGCATCTCGAGTATGCGGGCGCGGTGATCTTCAGCAGAAGGACGTAAGTTCTCCAGTTTTCTGGTCCTTCAACAGACTTTTATGGTGCTATAGCATTCCATTTTCGGGATGTCGGCGTTGTCAAATATCTGAAATAATGCCTCACGATGGCGGCATTTGGGCTTGAAGAAGTATCCAGGAAAATGGGATGGCGCGGGAGGTGGGTCGGGAATGTTTAGAAGAAGGTAAGAAAGCGTATTAGGTGGGAGCCGGCCAGCGCTGTACTAGGAGGGGGAATATATGAACCCCCACTGGTCATGCAGAATCTCCCATTGAGTGAGCTTGAAGTCATCTATCATCATGAAATCTCTTGCCGTTGCTGCGATTGCCACTCTCCTGACCACCGCTCCGTCGTTCACAAGAGCCTTGTGCCCTTTCAAGCGCGAGGCTGGTACTGGCAAAGGAGACATCGACCTGGCATCTGTGAATCCGAGCAAGCTCCGACAGATTCTTGAAAAGCGGGATCTCCGCGATGTACCCGTTAACCACGAAGATGAACCGGGTCTCAACAAGAGACAGTTTACCGCCTTCAACGAAAATCAGGAAATCGACGTTTCAGGTGTGCATGCCTGGACACCACCGGGGCCAAATGACATGTACGATCATAATATTTGCAACGATGAGCAAGCAAGGCTGACCAGATACAGCCGAGGTCCTTGCCCTGGACTCAATGCACTCGCCAATCACGGATACCTTCCACGAAGTGGTGTGGTCGGGCTTGTACAAGGCGCAACTGCGGTGCAGCAGGTGTATGGTCTTGCATTCAGCTTCGCCCTTCCACTGAGCCTCTATGCAACTCTCGTTGACGGTGATCCAATAGCACAGACTTGGAGCATTGGCAAGGCTCCGCCTCCGTTACTGGGCTTGCCTATCATCGGTAATGGTGATGGGCTCAGTGGCAGTCACAATAAATACGAAGGAGACGCTAGTCCTACCAGAGGAGGTCTTTTCGGACTATTGCCTTAAGATAAAGCAAATCACTGACTGGTACAGACTATTACTTAAATAGCGGAGATGTGAGCACTCTGCGCGTTCCATTGTTCAAAGCTCTTTACGACCTCGCAAAGGATGACCCTGTACCAAACTATGATCTCAGAGTCCTGTAAGCGCCTACCTGTCATCTCAGGACTACTTGACCTCCGCTCTGACGAATGACAGGGCCAAGCATCGCAAGTACACTTTAGAAAACTCTATTAGTACCAACCCATACTTCTTCTGGCCCCCATTTGCAGGACCTGCAGTGTCCAATGCAGCTCACACTTTCATTCGTATGGCAACCATCATCATTCTCAATATGTTTGCACTGATAAATCCCAGCCGCTCTGATGTCCAATCATTCAGCCGAATACCCCAACGGCATCCTGGATAAAGAGACCCTCAAAGATTTCTTCGCAATAACAGAGAATCCAGACGGCTCTCTCTCCTACAGGCCCGGATACGAGCGCATCCCATACAACTGGTACCGCCGACCCCTCGGCCCACAAAACGAGTACACTACCCTCTCCTTCGCCCAAGACCTAGTCGTCCTTGCGCAAACCGCCCCCGGCGTTGTCGCCGTTGGCGGCAACACCGGAACCGTCAACTCCTTCGCCGGGGTCAATCTAGCCGACATCACCGGTGGCGCCTATAACACGCAGGACCTGCTCAACCCTCGGAAATTTGTCTGCTACTTCTACCAGATCTCGCTCGCGGTCGTGCCGGATATTTTGAGGAGCAAGCTCCTCGGCACTGTCCTAGCCACGGCATTGAACCTGTTGCAGAACCAATTGCAGCCGTTTATTGACCCGAATTGTGCCAAGATCGCAAACTATAACGATGATTTTGCGGCGCAGTTTCCTGGGGCGGCGCTGCCTTGAGTGTTGGCGGGTTCAGGTGCATAGTAGGACAGAGGAGAGGGTTGCAGTTGGATGGATGGTAGGTGAATGTTTAGGGGAGGGGGGGAACCATCAAAACTGATGCGAGTATACGGAGCGGATTTTGAGCGAAGATCACTACCACTCTTTTATGTTTTCCTTAACGTAATCTTGTCTTCGTTACGAATTTGCTGATGAAAGTTGCTGATGAAAGTAACTACTGCGTAACCATAGGTAGTTTCACAGATACATACTCTACGTGGGAGGCCCACCCCGTCATGCTAACAGAGCCTATTTTCTCGCTAACATGGTAGTCAACGCGACGTAATTCGTCTTTTGGGATGTCACGGGATGTCACAGGAAGATCGTCGTTGGTCGAGGACCTAAAGACTGGGTGGAACAGTGTTCGCAATGTGTCGACTATCCCGTCCTGCTCCACCAGTTCTATGCTTATTCCTCTCAAACAGCAGCTAAGAGAGTTAGACTTCTGGGAATAACGGACTGTATCTGGCGATTACTTGTTTTATTTACATCTCAATTAGCGACCACGAAGGACCTGTGGATTCGTTAGCGAATTACAGTGCTGAGAACGGATACCGTACATCTATATCTCCCTGACAGTTGTAGTTCACCGCGTGTGTTAAACAAGGACCAAACCAGATTATAATGGAGGTATTTCTTCCAAAGTCCTGCAAGATACTCGTCATTCACGAGGGGCTGTAGTGACTTTGCAACACCAGCGATGGCAATGAGCCTATCTTCAGGCTAAGAAAGGATATTTGGTATCCTGCACCGAATCTTGGTAGGGATTATTCATAAAAAACCTGGCCAATAGGCCCTCTCAGCAGTTCAACACAATGCTACTCCGTATGGTACGGAATACTTAGCTCAAAAGAAGACATTGTGATACTCCGTACGACGTCAAGATACTGCAGGCAGAACGTCATAAGCTTATCAGGTTCTTCATAGTCAGGATATACAGAGAACTCCGTACACCTGCCAAGATTAACCGCCAAAGGGTCCTGCTTCAACATCAGAATGGGTGATCAATAGCGCCAAATGAGGCGTGCTACACCCATCTGCCCGCGGAATGCTTAAGCTGGCTGGCTTCCTCAGCCTCGTCAGATGTCAACCAAAATGGGGTCGGTGAAGACTCTCCTTTGATCTTAGGCTCAGTCTCTCGATGGCTCATGGGATAGTAGACAAGTTTTGAGAACGAGAACGATCGGCTTCGCGCACAACTACACAATCTAAATAACAAGATAGCAAGCTCTCAAATATAAATCCTCTTCACATCTTTTCATATATTCTCTTCACGTTTTCTACTTCCATCATGGCTTCAGTTATATCTACGCTAGGGAAGTCCCGCTACAGATACGAACCGCTCCAGTTTGCGGACGAAATACGTTTACTCCAGCTCTCTGGCGGCCCCGAACGCAAGAGGAAGCCGGTGTCCTGTGAAATTCATCATGTCCGACTCAGCCAGAACCCGCCTCCATATCATGCGCTGTCGTATGTCTGGGGTTCCCCCGACAAAACCTTCGCCGCCCACTGTGAGGGCGGTCAGACATACATTCCAGTCACAAAGTCCCTCCACACAGCATTGTTAGACATGGCCGTTCCTGGCACTGGATACAACATCAAGACTGGGACAATGAATGATATGCAGAAGCCAGAGGAATCGCCGCTGTACTGGGCTGATGGCATCTGCATCAATCAGGATGATGTTAGCGAACGAAATCAGCAGGTCCTCCTTATGGGAGACACTTACCGCAAAGGTCACCGCGTGATCACGTATATTGGTGAAGGCAACGAGGAACAATGGCTAGGAATCATCTTTGGCGTCCAGCTCCAGCAATATGTGCATAAAAGATACCCTAGGACTCCAGATCCCCGGATTAAAGATCTGGATAGGCTGGAAGAAGCCGGTCTCCCGAATAGGTCGGACCCTCAATGGCGCTACTTGAGGGACGTGCTTTCCCTCCCATGGTCGAGTCGAATGTGGATCGTGCAAGAGACTATTTTGAATAAGAATATCATGATGCAGTGTGGAGGCCTCCAATTTGACTGGTCCGTTCTGGGCGAAATGAGCATTTTCGCCTCCCGAGGATACATCCCTTTCTTGGCCATTACCGACGAAGACTCGCCCAATATTGGACTACCCGCTTCAAGTCCGGACCCTATGGATAAAATGTTCATGCTCCGAACCCAGGCAGGCGTCGCCAACTATCAGAGATTCAGCTGCATGCGCTTACTACTTAGCATGTGTCATACGCTCAAGAGCACAGATCCCCGAGATAAGGTTTACGCTTTGGCAAACGTTGCGAAAGACTGGGATGAACTCGGGATCGTGCCCGACTATTCCTGCCCCGTCTGGAAGCTCTACACTGATATAGCATTCCGCATCATGAAACGGGAGAGGTCCTTGACCCTTCTAGCTGCGGCTTCCTTTGCGCAAATATCGTCTGATCTTCCCTCCTGGGTTCCCGACTGGTCGAATCGCCCGAAGGCTGGCTATGCAATGGACACCAGCAATGAGAACAACTTAATACATGCCGCTTCCGGTGCTAGTCCGGCTGTGATTGATTACGATGAGTCGAGCCGCTCTCTCCGGGCAGCGGGCGCCGTGATTGACAAAGTGGAGTTCTTGTCCGAAGTCATTGGTGCTGCACAGTTCCGAAGGAAGCCTCTGTGGTTCGAGGACACGCTGAAAATGGTCAAAGACTCCTCTTCAACACCCATAAGGCTGGGAGGATCAAGGACTGAAATGGAAGCCCTATGGCGGACCTTGATCATGAACGTAGCCGCTATGGAACGACTCAAGCCAGACGTTGAGGCGCCATCGGACTACGGCTCATACTTCGAGGCATTTATCCGCCTGCAGGCGGGATTGGCCGCCATGGAACAAGGAATCGACCATCGCGTCACGCAGACTGAGTATGAAAAGGCTTTGGCGTTCGACAGGGCATTGACGAAGCGGGTACGCAGTCGCTCCCTCTGCAAGACTGAAAAGGGGTTTCTGGGGTTGGTGCCGGAAGGCACTCGTAGTGGAGATGACATCTGCATACTTCTCGGTGGTAGAATGGCATACGTATTGAAGAAAACCGGCAATATCACGAGGTTCGGAGGCGAGGCTTACATCCATGGGTTGATGAAGGGCGAGGCACTGCAATCAGTTCAAGCTAATATCGAACTGATTGTCATCAACGCCTAGGAAGAATATCTTGATTGGTAGAATGGTTGATTGAGGAATGTGACAGGACGAAGCAAGTTCAACAGAATAGCTAAGCTCTTAGTCTCAATTCCCTGACCTAGAGCAGATGAATACAAGCGCGTGGAAGTCTTCAGTCCGCTCACGGATCTCAACCACCTGCTCCAGCAGTCTCACTGCGTGCTTGACTTTGCTATAATTCGCCAAGGTTCCCGGCCCTCAGATCATACGGCCTCGCCGACACATTCATCACGTTTCTTGCGACTTCATTGCGATGATAATGCGTTGAATTGACGGAAGTTACGCTGGGCTTCGGGCATCCCTCGACACTGACGAGCATGAATAACCTGGCCGAAGTGCTGAGACTGCAAGGCAAGTACGAGGAGACGGAGGAAATGCATGGACAGATACTGGGGCTGAGAAAGCTGGTGATGGGGCTCGAGCATCCCGATACACCGACGAGCATGAACAACCTGGCGAAGGTGCTGAGGGATCGAGGTAAGCATGAAGGGGCCGCGGCATTGCGTAGTTCCTCCTGTTCCGTAAGTGAACGTCTGCCCCCATGCGCGTATAACAAACTAATCATCCTAAGCTGACCCGCACCTGCTGCTACGAGCGCCAAACGTACAGAATGTTGAGGGTAATACGCCACTGCAATTAGCAGCAGCACAACAAGAAATCATGCCAGGAGATCTCAGAGTCTGTCAGAAGCATACCACGATGAGTATGCAGATAAGCCAGCCGTATCGCTGCGTACGAGCCTGCCAAAGCCCCAAAAGCTGCGATGATCTGGGTGCCAAGGCGTGGTCAAGATGCGGTGCAGGATACCACAACATCCACACCCCCATCTTGACCTCTCCTAATTCCATTTTCGCTTTAAGACCTGAGCACACGTGACTGTAACCTGAGCGATGAATAAGCAGCCTTGAGCTGTGGCTGTGCAAGGCTCTTCCGAGCCTGAGCAGCCCTGAGCATCGACTGAATTCTACCTTGATGGGCCGGATTCTGGGCCTTTCGCAACTCGGAGAGCCCAGATTCGGGGTGTTGGGTTCTAATTCCTGGGCCCTATTACTCGTGTATACTTGCCCTTCAAGTGGTCTGAGCCAAAGGTTGCCGCCTAACGTGATAAGCCTAGGTGTACAATAGACCCTAATAAGTAACAAATTTTATCTGACGTATTCGGTCGTTAAATGCATTAGGCTATCAAATGTACTACTTTTGACTTGGCATTGGCTTGACATAACGTCCTTCGATTATAAGCAGTTACTATTCATTTAATTAGAGGATAGAAGTATCGAAATAGCTCAAATAGATAATGGCTATAGCGGACTAATATTAGGTTGAGGACACATCAAAATTTTAAAATTCAAAATCGGAATTTTGAAACTCCGTACTAACTCAACACACCAAGGGTCCATATAGATTTCTGAAAACCTTACTACTACTAGTAAAATTTGTGATGGATGGAGTATCTCCTCTGCTATGGCGCAGGAAAGACACGGGACCAGCCACGCACTCGGATAGCAGCACTCGGATGGCAGCGCCGATGGCGTATCCACAACGGCACGCGGAACTCTTGCCGTCAAGCTACTATGCCGCCGATAGAGGCATCCGTACGGCACGTGGCTCCCCGTACGAGTACCATAGAACAGGAGATTGATACGACCCCTTTAGGGAAGTACAATCTCCTCCAGAGGGAAGCTACCGCTTCTGGCCCTGCAGATACTCCGTCGGATCCTCCGCGCAGGTTAACTAGTAGCACCCCTTGTGTTCGATGGAGGAGTATATAGAGTAGAGCGCTGGCCGCACTGTAGATAGACTCCTCAGCTTACGTTTTAGCAATCTATGGACTATTGACTTGTTCTAGTTCCGAGCCATTGCAAAATTATTATACAAGCTTATAGAATTAATTATGATTTATTATTAAAAAGAGACTTGAATAAGAGTATATTTATATAATAAATAATAAGTAACTATGTTTAATATATTAATTATTAGGGCTCAACTAGTTAAGACAAGTCTTAACTAGAAGCTGGGTCCAAAGGGTTGGTTGGGGAGAACAGGAAGTGCAGTGAACAATGCTCATGAGTGCTTACCTTGATCACCTCTGATCATTGCTCATGAGTGCTTACCCTGATCACCTCTGATCATTGCTCATGAGTGCTCACCCTGATCACCTCTGATCATTGCTCATGAGTGCTCATCCTGATCACCTCTGATCATTACGTTGTCCAGGTCTGACCATGTGTGTAGTTCAGGGTCCAGTCCTGTCCAAGTCTGTCATAGTTCCTTCGCAGAGTGCCAGGCAGCTCTGTAGTGCCTGTCAGTGCTTGGCATGTTCACGTGCTGTAATATTAATCTCTCCTTTTATTATTTTTTTACTTTTATTTATAATTAGTTATATCTTATTAATAATAATTAAAAGTAGATTCTTTAGTATTAGAGGTTCCTATTAGTTAGGAGAGCAGAGTCTGTACCCTCTAGCCTTATTAGAGTCTATATCTTTGCTTTTACTTATATTATATTTATAAGTATTATAAGTAAGTATAACTAAGTATAAATAACTATAGTAATTTATATCTTAACTAAGAATTAGGTTTGTGTAAGGGATCACGAATAAAGGCAAAAGCTCTTGATTAGCTACCTATTGATAAGGAGACGAAACTTAAGAGTTTCATGATATAAGGGGGAAGTACAGGTTATTTGTACCCGTCTCTATGCCTCTATCTTTCCTCCTGAGCCGTGCCTTTATCCTTCCTCCTGAGCTGTGCCCCTAGTCCCTAAGGACATTCCTAGTGACATGCCCACTATCACGTGACGCCGCACCAAGACATTACGTGTTGACCTGAGGCTGTGGCCCAGGTCTCTATGGGTTCTACCCCATGACATCACCCCCCCTTTTCTGTCGTTTATACTCATCTAGGGCGACGGTATCCTCCAGAGCGGAAGCTGGCTCCCACGACGGTCTTAAGTAACCTTTCTATTTGACTTTATATTGCTTTTAACAGCGGTGTATCCTTTCCCTTAGAATTGTCTTTATCTCAAATTCCTTTTTCTTATTAATAATTATTAATAGTGGCTGATAGTCTTTTAAGCGCTATAAAGAGAGGGCGTTATTAGTTGCTAGTTAGAGCAGATTAATGTTAAATACGTTATATATATTAGTAATGTTAAGGCGATAGCTTTGCAGTCCAACTATCTTTATTATAGTATACTTTGCTACTCTATTATTTAACTTCTTAAAGAGTTAATTTATTAAGATATTCTTTAAGGATAATTATACCTTGTTACTAACTTTATATATTAGTTAAGCTTTTCTATATTAATTTATTTATAATTCCTATTCTTACTATATATTAATTATAACTAACTAAGTCTACTTTATTATTTACTTTAATTTAATTATAATATTATTAGCTTTTTAAATTAGAGTTATTTTTTTACTTATACCTTTTAGTTTAAATCGCTTTAATAGTTTTAGATAGTATCTATATCCTAGAAAGAATAAGCTAGTCCTTATAAAGGTAGAATTTTGTTTACTAAGTACTAATTTTATAATAAGTAAATTCTTTACTTAATTATCTTAATTATAATTAATAAGTTATTATAATATAATCTTAATAAAGAAGTTAAATAATAAAGTATACCTTTATTTAACAGAAGAATAAATACTTAGTAAGACAAAGTAATTAGTAACATCTCAGACTACCTAGCAGAGAAAGAGAATAATAGCGACAGCAACACGCGAGTATTACACATACTATACGAAGTGCAGGAGCTGCTAGAGGAAGGAAGAGGGCAGGACGCTAGAGGCGCCTGAGATGAA